GAATCTCAGGTGCAGAAGATACCATGGAAAACAGTGACACAGCTGTCAAAGAAAATACAAAATCCAAAAAGCTCCTAACCTAAAACATCCTGGAAATCAAGGACAGAATGAGAAGACCAAACCCAAGGATAATAGGGATAGAAGAGAGTAACATTCCCATCTGGCTTTTTGTTTTTTGTTTTTGTTTTGTTTTTTTGGTTTTTCGAGACAGGGTTTCTCTGTGTAGCCCTGGCTGTCCTGGAACTCACTCTGTAGACCAGGCTGGCCTCCAACTCAGAAATCTGCCTGCCTCTGCCTCTCAAGTGCTGGGATCAAAGGCGTGCGCCACCACCGCTCGGCCAAACATTCCCATCTCAAAGGGCCAGTAAATATCTTCAACAAAATTATAGAAGAAAACTTCCCTAACCCAAATAAAGAGATGCCCATAAACATACAAGAAGCCTACAGAACACCAAATAGGTTGGACCAGAAAAGAAATTCCTCCCGTCACATAATAATCAAAACACCAAATGCATAAAAACAAAGAAAGAATATTAAAAGCAGTAAGGACAAGGACAAGTAACATATAAAGGCAGACCTATCAGAATTATACCAGACTTCTAACCAGATACCATAAAAGCTAGAAGGCAGTTGTCATACAGACCCTAAGGAACACAAATGACAGCCCAGGCCGCTATACCCAGCATAACTCTCAATTATCATAGATGGAGAAACCAAGATACTAGGACAAAACCAAATTTACACAATATCTTTCCACAAATCCAGCCCTACAAAGGATAATAGGTGGAAAACACCAACACAAAGAGGGTAACTACACCCTAGAAAAAACAATTAAATAATCTTCTTCCAACAAACCCAAAAGAAGATAGCCACACAAACTTAAAAATAACAGGAAACAACAATCACTTTTCCTTAATATCTCTTATCATCAATGGAGTCAATTCCCCAATAAAAGGACATAGACTAACAAACTGGATAAGTCTGTACCTCCAGGTAGAGAGCACAACAGTTAGATGGTATAACAGGATGGCTGCTCTAGGCAGAGAGCTTAACAAGTAAAAACTACCTGCTTCCTATAGACAGATATTAGTGAAAGTTTGAATTAATTGCTTTAAAGATGGTATAAAGATGTATTGCTCTAGTAAGTCTTAGAGGATACGCATATTCTTTCTAATGTGGCCTCCATGGGAGTTTTGGGTTAATTTCCTAACATGACAAAATAGAAAAAGCCTAAGAATAGGCACATACAGTACTTTAGTTTATCTCATTTGTTTTAGATTGTTTTAATTTTCAAAATGAGCATGATTTTGAGTTTTGTGGTTATATTATTCCTCTGAGAGAGAGGTCAAAATAAAGGTTTTTCTGGTTACTGGCCCAAGGATAAGCTGATTTGGGAGAAAGGTTTTGTCTTTGTGTTTTTAGATAAGGTGATTACACATCTTCCAGAGTTATATGGATCAGATATGATGAAGGGAGACCCCCCAGAGGACTAGATTCCAGAGAACCAAACAAAAAAGTTAACTTGATGATACTAAAACTTTGTTTTGAGATTTGTATATTGCAGAATATACAACCTTGATGAGTCTCATCATCAGACATGCTGAACTGTCCTGCTTTGAACTTCTGATCTCTTTGACTTTCAGTTGGATCCAGTCAGGACACAGATCTGCATCAGAGACTAAAACAATCATTGGTGTGGCCTTCTTAAAGCCAAGAAACTCCTCCATTTTCTCTACTCCTAACCCCTTCAAAGATATCTCAATGCCCATATTCACCTAGAAGAAGTTACGAAAGTCACTGCCAGAGTTCTCTGGACTTAGGGGTCTAGAGGTGATTATTCTAGTTGTCTTTCTAGGGAATGTTAAAATGGCCATAATTGGAACAGGGAGGAAACAGCTAGAATTGACTGTGTAACAACCATAACCGCATTTGATAGAAATCTTTACAATAGCTGAAGTTGTAATTTCTTATTATGGTACAGAATTTATTTTGACACAGAATCAAAGCTATCATTAGTATAAATTTCCTCTATTGATACAAAGATTTTTAAAGTACAAGGCTTGGACCCAGTCTTTCTATAATGTCATTACAAACTGATCTGAGATGTTTAAGCCTGTGAGTTAGGGGCCAAATAGAAAACTCAAGGTTAGGGTGTTTTCAAATAATGTAATTAGAAATAGCTGAGAGTGTTTAACTGACAACAGTCCAAATTACTTTACATAGTTGGTTTTCAAGAATGTCAGAAATCCACAGAATGTGACATTTAATGTTATGTATTCTTTTGTTGTTGAGACATATCTGCTCCTAGCAGCTCCCCTTTTGTGGATTCAGAGAATAAATTGAAGAGTCTCTCCCTCCAGGTGAGGTAGTACGTTGTGGCTAGGAGGCCTCTGGGCAGAAATTGCCTTTCTCTCCTGCAGACCTGTACTGTTCTTGAGAGGACAGAACTTACAGGTTAGGACAGCTTAGTTCTGCAGAGACAGAATAAGCTAGTCCTTAATAATTCCTGTTTTTCAAAAGTCTGTTATATGACCCTGGGCCACAAGGCTGAAGACTGATGCTCCAACTTCCTGACTTATTGGAGCTGTATGGGTAGGCAGCTGTCTCTTCAACTTGTCTCAGTTCTGGAAGCTGAGTTAGGCTTCCTATATTTTCAGATAATGTTGCTCTTTCTCAGATTTCAGATGGGGTTGAAAGATTACTCATAGTCTCTTAGCCAACCCTGGCTATTTAACATTGAGAAACTATATTTGAGAAGATAGTTCTCAAATAGTATAAAAGCTAAACCTGGACATAACATATGGATTTACAAGTCTTTTAAGTTAGGATAGATGACAGAGTGTTCTATTTAATTGTCAAAGATGATGGACTGGATGTTAGGTATATCTTATTCTATATAAATTACAAAATGGTAATAAAAAATTTAAAACATTTAAAAAATTAAAAAAAAAAAACTATGGTATCATTAGCTGATGGCAATTTTCCCTTCACTGGATCACCACTGTCCATACAGCTTGTGGTTGACAGTATACAGCACAAGACTGAATTGAAGGGTGTGACTTTCTCCTAAGCAAAGATTGAGCTATGACACTTTAATATTTGATCTACTCTTTCCAATTTGTGTATGTATGCTTGGCAGGCATGTCCATTTGTTATGGTAGGCATGTGCAGAGGACAGCTTTGATGAGTCGGTCCTCTCATTCAAACTCACATCATTAGGCTTCACAGCAACTCTTTACCCACTAACCCATTCCTTCCATCTTCCCTACTGCTCTTTGTAAAATGCAAACTTCATCTTCATTTGTGCATTCTAATTTTATCCTATTTCATTTAGGGCACATATTCTGCTATTTCATTCTTTGGGAATTCTCATTTTTGGTATCTTCTAATATGTAACGAATGTTTATAAATGTTCAATTTAGCACTGAAAAATATACTTATTATTTGGGGGAGTATCAGTTCCTCATGATTCTAGTTCACTTAAGAAAGATAAAAGCTTGCTGAGTCCCTGGTAAACTCCACCCCTGTTTTGTTTTAATATGTTCTTTAAATTTCATGTATTGGAAACTTAATGAGTTACTGCAGGGCCATCTCTATCATAAAAGCTAGCCTCTTTGTTTACCTTTATCTGTTGCTGAGTTACATTTGGACTTCACAGAGTTGCTATTAACAAAAAGGACTTTGCCATGCATGGCTTTTCAATCTTGAACTGCCAGCCTTTAGAATCACGAGCTAAACAACTTTTGTACTATATACATTATCTAGTCTGTGGTATTCAGACAATAACAAAAATGAAGTGGACTGAGACAATTTTCTTGTAACTTCATTAAAAGTTCCATGTGTAGAGTCCCATGGGTTAAGTCTAGGACATATGCTTTTATTTTACAAGGTAACTGGTTGCCCTGGATTTGAAGTAGTGTTACTTCTGGATGAGGTATTTCTGACTGTAGATATCCCCAGAGAAGTTGCTCTAACATACTTTTGTTTGTTTGCTGTGCTCTATAGCAAAAGATCTAACCACTGAGAAAACCGTGCTAAAGTTTGGGGGCCTGTTCTGGAGGAGTAGGGGCCTAAAGAGTAGCCAAACTCTAATACTGTAATAAACTTCCCCATAGGCAGAATATCCACTCTTAGGACTTTCTTCTTTGAATAAAGTGCTCCCTAAAGTGCTCCCTTTCTAGATGGTATCTTTCAGATTCCTAAGATAAAGTTAGGAATCCTTCTCTGGTTCCTGTCTGTTGCTTTAAATTTATTTTGTTCAGTTAGAAAAGAGAAATGCTGTAAATTTGTGTCTCCTTCCAAATTCTCTAAATTCTCTAAAACACCTTATTCTCATTTTGAAATTTTCATGCAAATCTTGTAAATTTTGCATTTATATTGTTATACAGAAAACCAAACTCCTTCAAGAAAAAAATTAAAGTTTGATGAGATGACTTATACCTGTAATCCAACATGGGGAGACTAAGGCAGGAGAACTCCTCAGAGCTCAAAGTTAGCCTGTGCTACAATGTGAAATCCCATCTTGATAGGAAAAGGAATAAACAAAAGAAAAGGAAAAAAAGGGCAGAGAAAAGAATGCTCTTAAAATGCAATCTGAATAGAAAATTAACTGCTTGTAAGCTGTATCCTAAGAGCCTACCAAAAAATGACATATGCTGATAAGCATTTACATATATTCTGGTATTCACAAACACAGTTTACATGTAGACTTATCATGTGTGCACAGAATGAAGTATTTAACCATTCTCTCCTATCACTATACTTTTTCTTCTCAGTCTATGAGGGACTAAGCCCTCTTTGACTTAATTCATGTCACCAAAGTAAATAACATCAAAATAAAGGAAAAAAATAATTAAGATCCTTAATTTTACTGGAATGAATATTAGAGGGCTGCATTCTAGTATGTCCCCCGTTTAGTAGTCACTAAAGACACAATAAAGAGTTCAATATCTGTGGAGCATGACATTATCCATTCCCCCAAAATGTCACCAGCAGCTTACCTTATTAGCTCTAGCTGTGCAAGTTCCTGGTTTGCTTGAAATATAGGCTTTTTAGTGAAGAGTTCACCAAGGATACATCTAATAGAGAAAAGTAGAGCCGTTACTATCTAAATTTCCTCATTTTAATTCACTAAGTTTTTAGTGCCCTAAGAAAATGTATCCATCTTACCCACAGCTCCATACATCAATGGCTGGTGTATATCGTTCTTCTCCCAAGAGCAGTTCAGGTGGACGATACCACAAAGTAATGACCTTGTTAGTATATGGGCGACTAAGACAAAAACAAAAACAAAAATCATAGGACTCTTTAAAGTTAGCATTTGTTGTAGTAAGAGATTCTCTCAATAATACTATTATATACTCCCAAAGACTGAACCACCAACCGAAGAGTTAGCAATGGGCTGGACCTAGGCACCTCGCACATATGTAGGAGATGTGCAACTTATTCTTCATGTGGGTCCCCCAATAACTGGATCTGTTGCCTGTCTGTGGATCCTGTTCTAATTTGGCTGCCTTGTCAGGCCTCAGAGGAAGAAGATGTACCTAGTCCTGAGGCGGTTCACCCTTCTCAGAGGAGACGATGGAAAGGGGGAGGAGCTGTAGGGCTGGGAGGAGAGGAGGGCCAAATATTGGAATATAAAGGGAATAAATAATTAATGGAAAAAATAGTACTTTGTATAATCAAAGCAATCCCATAATCCTAATTCTGATTAACTACAGTATTTAACACACAAACATAAAATTCATGGACAAGCAGCAGTAATTCCCTGAACATGTGAATAGAAAAATAAGGAGTTAGCTGTTGTAATTTGGTGAAACAAAAGTCACTCATCAACTCAATTACTAAGTAATGTTTTTTTCCTTTCCATAAAAACTTTAAAAATGAGTAATTCATAAAGAAACGACTAAAAGAAAAACAATGTAGTTCCAACTGTGATTACCTAATACAATGACTTGTTTTGTTTTGGGTCTGAAGATTAAATCAAAGAACTCTTATATGCTAGGCAAGTGCCTTACCCAAGTCCCTAACAAAAGATTGCTGTTTGTTGATGAGATAGGGTCTCGATGTGAAGATCAGGCTAGCCTTGAACTCACAGAGATCCTCTTGCCTCTTCCATGTTGCTAGGAATCAATGGGGGTGCCACCACAGTTGGCTCCTAGCAAAAGTTTTAATTAGGCATATCTTTGTTAATATTTAACACATTTGGATGCACCCTGGCTTGTAAAAATAAAGTAGATATTGACTATTAGTTATTTGTGGTCTAGACTACACAGAATTACAAGCTACAGGTATGGTGCTTTATCAGAAAACTACAAAGAGAACATATATAAACTGAGGTTACTTAAATCTAGCCAACTTATAATAACACTAAGTCTGACCATCCTCCAGTACAAAATTCAGTAGTAAAGGTTTTTTTTTGTTTGTTTTGGTTTTTCAGGCAGGTTTTTTGTTTCTTTTTTTTCTGTGTAGCTCTGGCTATCCTAGAACCTGCTCTGTAAACCAGGCTGACCTTGAACTCAGAGAGCCACCTGCCTGTCTCCAAAATGCTAAGGATTAAAGATATTGCCCAACTCCAGCAAAGTATTTCTAAACATTAGATACTTTCTTTATGATTCATATGAATAAGGATGATCCTAAAAAATATCAGGACCCATGGTTAAAGTATAGGCTTCAGAGTAATTACATCTTTAGATAACTTATAAACCTTATTCTTTTAGATATATTTCAAATAACAAAAGCAAGATAGGAAGTTCCCTCAGGAAAGTTATATTCCAAGCCTATTCACTCACCTGAGACTGGTTGAATTGGATTCATTTGGGGAGAAGAAAACAAAATGCCCACAATTTAACCCAGCAGCTTTCTCCTAGCAACCACAGGTCTATGCTCCAGAAAGCCTAGGATGCATCTGAACTACTCCACCCTAACCTGGCCAAATTTCTCTAAGTAACTTGAGCACCAATATTCTTAAGTTATCAATTTGGGCATCACAATATTTCCAAAAGCAAACAAAACTTCTGTTGACACTGATAAAACTGAAAATTAACAAATAGGAGTCTAAAGGCTTTTTTGTTTGGTTTAGTTTCAAGCAAAGCATCACTATACCATCCCTGGCTGTCCTGGGACCTGCTTTGTAGCCAGAGTGGTCTTGAGTTTCCAGTGACTTTTCTACCTCTGACCCCAAGAGCTGGAAGCCAGTCATGTACCACCACACCTGGCTAAAACGCCTATGAAGCCAATAAAAATTGAGTATACTCTCCTTAGTAAATTTTCTTTGCTTATTTCCTGCTATCACTTATCTTCATATAATATAAAATGTTTCCATTTTTCTTAACTACATACTATTATTTCATACATGACAAAAGAGCTCCCAACATAATATCTAGTCTCAACTTTCAATAATTAATCTTGACTTGCTTCAACTGTCTTAAACTGTTTACTTCAGTCAAAAGTCAAAACATTCTTTAACATGAACCCAAACATAAACCCCAGGAAAACATGGGATACCATAGAGCAGTTAAATGTAACATAAGGTAACTTATGACTCTTTTGGATAGGGGAAGAAAGCTTAAAAAAAAAATTGAGAACTAGGTTTTAAATTGATTCAGGGGTCTATGAGCACTTTTTAAGTCTATGCTGTAAAACTGAAACTAGAATAACTACTCAAAAAATATTTAAATTAATACAAATATCTAATTTTTAAATTTAGAAAAAAGTATGGAAAAACTACAAATATTTAAGTGATGAAATTTATTTAAAGAAAAGTTTAAACAAAAGATTAGTTTACATGCCATATATCAAATTCTATGTAACTGCCTAGTCATTTTTAGCTTTTAGTTGGCCACCTTTATCAAACTTAGAATAGTCAACTTGCAAGATGACTAAACACAAAACTACACAAAAATAGTTTTAAATGTATCACAAAGTATTTAATATATGAGTTAATTGCTTTCTACATTTTTCTAAAATGTTAGTTTTTGCCAGGTACTTTTGCTTGTTTGGTGATTTATTTCAATGCGTTTCTTCTATAGAATCTTAGGAATTGCAGAGAGAAGTTGATTTGGTTATGGTGTTTCCTATCTAGATTCATGTAAAGGAAGCAAGATTTAAAATACTTAAATCTTTCAAGCAAAACATAATAAAATCTTCAGTGATTTCTTTCATACTATAATTTGTAATATTTTTCGAGACAAGAAAGAAAACCTTAAGGTTTCATGAGAAATCTCGAGCATTCTGTTATTAACAGAATATTAACCTGCCTAGCTGCTACAGGAAAGCAATCCAGGGGCCTTTGGTCTTATGGGTGGGGAATGAGCATGGTCTCCCCATAGCCCACAGATAGGCCTCAAATCTTCCTGTCTGGGCCTCCTAAGTGCTAAGATGACAGATAGTATGCCATCATATCTAGCCAGGAATCAAAAAACTCATCTTAAATACAGTAACACTTTTACAATTTCAACAGCTACAACCCAAGAATGAGCTGTGATGCAGGAGGAAGGAGAAAATGCCATGGGTCAAGTGAGCCATAAAAACATGGCCCTGAGAGCTGGTCAACTGGAGTTAAGAGCAGCCCAGATGAAACATGGTAAGTAGTAAGTAATACCTCGGGGGATACAGACAGAAAAGTAGATTCTAAAAGCCCAGCTCTTGTGCTGTTTAAGACTGATTGTAAATATAAAAGATGTGTGTGTGTTTTTATCTGGGAACTAATTGATCTAAGGCGGGCTAGAAACCCTAGGTCAGGATTAAATAATTTCTACAATAGAGCTGCTATTACTACTGCTTACACACTACTTCAACAGTACAGTTATTGTTTGTCTCACCTCGAAAGTGCCTTGCCTCCTCCATCTTTTAAAAAACATTTTGTTTTAAAAAGAAAACCAGGTCATGTCTCACTGCAAATAAATAAAACTTAACTCAGCCTTATAGTAAGCCTATATACTGAGGATCTTATTCCTGTGACCCTACTATAGGACACCAGGGTGCTTACCACCAACTAAGCTTCTCCTACTGTAATATTCTTTGTCTGGGTCTTTATTAAATTTTCTTTCTTTCCTTTAAATCTTCCAATTTACTTCTTCAAAGATGGCTATCCTAATTGTCCTATTGAAAATTCCTCTGTTGAAAATTGCTTTCAAATAGTACTACTTGCAGCAGTGATAACAGCATCCTTTAGTACTTGGGTCATTTCTTCTAGAGCAGCTGTCCCACTAAATACACTACACTTCTCATCCTCACTGCAGTGAGTAGTAAGTGCTTGCCACTGCCTTTTCTAGGCATGTCTCATAATTCCACTCCTCTTTCTTATTTCTGGCAACAGCCTTGGAAGGCTGATGTAAATGATCACAGATATTCCAACCAGGTTGCCTGGATGATTATATGACAGTTACCATTTGAACTGATGCTATAAGTGAGAAATTATAACACTTTAAGCCAGTACTACATTTTTTTCAATAGTTTTGCCTTTCCTAACTGTAAATGTATCCAGCTACTTGACCAGAAACCTTATAGGTAAGAATGGAGACAGATTTTTCACAACAGGTAATATTTTCTAACTACTCTCCGGTAGAGACCCTTGTGAAATAATTCACCTCTTTCTTACACACAGTCTATTGTTCTGTTCTAGCCACAATAATTTTTATCAAAATTTAGTGCAACAGCTTTTTAACCAATTGTTCTTTCCAGATTTTCAAGATTAACTCACTTTTCAAAACACAGTCAAAACGAGTTTTAAAACACATTGTTTCTAGTGACTAGTCACACAAGACTTACTAAATGTTTTTACTAACTACCAACCACACTGAATCTTTAGCTCCCTAAGATGGCTGAGCAAATGTATGTCTTCTAGAGCAGGGAGAGAGAAATCAAGGTGGGGGTTGGAGGGAGGGAGGGATTTAAGAATCCTTTGAAGAAGTTAAAGGTGTTGTTGATGTTTAAAAAAAACAAAAAACAAACAAAAACCTCTTTTAACAAAGTAATTGATGGAATATTCTTGAAATCACAGCACTCAGTATCCTGAGAAACAGGAGGATTTTCAGTTCAAGTTCAGCCTGGGTCATATACTTAACTCCCTAATAACAATTAAAAAAAAAAAAAGGTAGGTTGGTTGTTTCTGCTCCTCCAAAAAGGATACTATGCCACATTTTCCATTTTACTATTTAATGAGAAAAAAGCAAACACTGAGTAAGTATGCAAACAGAAGGACTTTAATCATAAAAGCAAAACTCAACATAAAAAAAAAGCTAGGAGGGCACTGAAGCCAATTTCACAAA